ATATTACTTGAGTAGACAGGAAGTGCAATCAAGGAGCTTCCAAAATGTGCAGTAGATGACAGAGACAGCTGGCTACCTGGGCAATCACCCAAAGTCTCATTTGCAACATTAGAGCAACCAACTTTGGCTAAGGCCTCGAGTAACTGACAGATGATTTTCAGAGGCAGGAAATTTTTCAAAACCGTCTTACCCTATCTTGGCAAGGTTTGGCAGTCTTTTTCTTGTATTCTACTTGTCCAGTCTGAACATCATGCATTTTGTCAGTAGTTGAGGCAAGGGCAGATCTTTGCCCAAAGGCCAGTTTTGCCAAGAAGAAAACAAGCTCCAAGTGGGCTGTCTTCAGTGCCCAACATTCTCTAGGAAATAGATGGGTGCTGCTAGGAGCAAATGTGCCTCACATCAACAGAATCCTAAATTATTTAAATGATATACCCTGCAGATGTTTGGAGTGTTTGAAGATTACCTATCTATGTGAAATACAATCTCTATGCATTTAAAGAACTTGATTAGTTTTAAGTATGGAAAACATGGATGACTGGTGACCTGTGATTCTTAATACATATATAGCTTAAAGACTAAAGCTTAAAAATTAAAGTCTTTAAACAAATGTGCAGCAAATGAGGACAATGACCTCAAAATGTAAGCAATGTATAAGGATCTTGATCAGAAGTAGGAATGTATATTGCAATATGATAAATATATTCTAAAATTCCAACAATATACAAAATGCCTTAAGCAGAAGTAGAAGCATGCATGCATACAATATGACAAAATAAGTCTGCATATGTGCACAAATATTGTAAACAGAAATAGATGCATATTCAGTGTAACAAATATAATTTGAATTTGTATCAATATCTAAGAATTTATACCAGTATAAATTGTCTATAAATAGCTCACAAGTAATCGCACTATTACTCACTATTAGCATGAGTAAGCTCACACTAATCTACCTATTATCCCATTCCATCCATTTCCCCCTGCTTTTGTAACAGATTCTACATCTATTAATCTATTGAGATCATCTTGGTTGTTTTCCACGTTAGACCATTATGAATATACCTGCTATGCACAGGTTTTTTTTGTGTTGAGTTTCCAGTTTTCTGGTTAAATAAAAACAAATGTGATTGCTGGATCATTTGCTAAGATGTGCTTAGTAAGAAACTGCCAAAGTGTCTTCCAAAATAAGTTATCCACAGGTAAAAGTGGGGGAATGTAGACATTTGGCATTGCCTCTGTCAGTTTGCTTTCCTACAGTAGCTCTGTGCCGTTCGTTACTTTTGTGCTCTTGCATCTAATGAGATTGACTGAAGTTAGGGGACGCTCTGGGGTTCTGTTCTGTTCTCTTGCTCTTCTCTGTCACTGTGCACACTGATGTCCTTTTCTGTCTCTCAGCTGTGTTGTCAGTCTTCAAGTTAGGTAATTTCCCTCTTTGTTCCCAGCTTCCTGAGTGAAGATTCTGGGTTCTTCTCAACATAAACATTAGAATCAGTTTATTGATACCCACAGAATAATTTGCTGTGATTTCTTTTGGGGGCATGAGCAGCATTGATCCATAGATGAAGTTGGAAGAATTTATATTTGACACTAGTCTCCCTATGAATTTGATATGCAGAGAATCTATTTAATTAGTTTCATGGTTTTATCTTTTAAAACATTTATTTACTTTTATTTTTGGGGCAAATGTTTTTCTTGCATTTATGTGTATGTCCTCCGTGCATGCAGTGAGGCCTGAAGAGAGAGCATTGACGCTTGGGAAACTGGAATCACCACCGTGTGCTGGGAACTGAACCTGGGTCCTCAGCAGAGCAGCCAGTGCTCTCAACTGCTGAGTCTTAAGCTGCCTGTTTTATTAGTATTTTACCTTTATTTTTTATATTAACTTAACAGCTTTTTCATATGGGATTTTCACATATACTTTATTTTGTTGATTCTTTCCTCCTTTGCTTTCTTGGGTTTTCAGTTGACTTTCTACTTTTAAATTTAGCTAATTGATACATGAAAAATGACCATTGGGCCCACGAGTGATGTCATTGTTGACCTTAGATAAGAGTTGTTTCTATAGAAAAATGAGGAAACTTGAAAGTCTTAAAACAGAAATTGGAGACACTGATAAAGACAGAGCTTTGAAGTAGGGTTTTCTATTAAAAGAACAGTAGCTTGAGGTGAAAGCTGGAAGGGTTAGAGAAACAGAAGCCTGTTTTTTAATCAAGTTTCAGAAAATGACATTGCTAGATTCTTGTGAATGTTGTTCATCTGAGAGAGAACTGATACAGTGTAAGGCAAAGTGGAAGTTTGTGGAGTTATGCACTGTGGAAAGGACAAAAACAGAAAGGATGGAGATCAGTCAGGAAAGATGATGGTTGGTCATTATCACCTTCCCCCTCTTCCTGCTCAGCTGACTCCTCTGTGGCAGGTCTGCTGCTAGCCTATGAAGTGCTTTGAGTTAATGCACTTAGTTCTGAAGCTCCTCTTTCCCATACCCCCTGGTAGGTCTGCCCCAGCCTCTCTCTTTTCCAAATGATGCCTTAATGTAAATGAAGGTAGACTCTATATGCCAGGCGCTTCTGTCACATTTAATGTCCCGCTGGAATAGGGCTAAATGAGCTCCTTTTCATGCAGCATGAGAGGGGGAGAAAGCGGACTTTAGAGCCAAGAATTTAGTTTCACAGTGGGAATCTTTGGTCTTCTACCAAATAACAGGATTTAAGATGGATTCTTCACCTTGTCCATATCTATTTCCTCAGGGTTGGTGGATTTGTCCAAAGAACCATCTTTTCAGTCTATAATTCTGCAGTCTATTAAAATGCATTGACCTCAACTTACTTTCTATTCAGTCATCTGAAATATAAGTGTTCTGAGGTAATTTTGTTCGTTGGAAGTTGGTTATATATATTTGGGTACTTATACAAGTAAGTATTTCCAACGTCTGTCAGTAGAGCAGAAGTAGTCACAGTGAAGTTACAGAAACAGATAGAAAACATTTGGGAGTATAGAAGCCTTTTTTGAGATTTTTGTCTCTGAAGCTTTTTAGTTTTATAGTATCATTTTTGCAGAATTAATAACATTGTTAAACTGACACCCGTGTTATTAATATGGTTGCAGTACTGTTTCGCTGTTAGTATTTAAATAGAACCTCCAGATCATCTCTAAATTGATTGGTAGTTTAAAAAACAAAAGCATATGCATACTTACATTTAGAAATCCAGGATAATTTGTGATGTAAAAACTTAGAGGAAAATGGATGGGAGACATGTCTCAGGACATGTGCTGTCTTTGCAGAGGTCCTGAATTTGATTCTCAGCACCTATATTAGGTTCCCTAATCTCCAGAGAATCTGAAACTGTCTTCCTAGACTCTGTGGGCACCTTCACTCATGTGCGCATGTCCTCCCTGCCTACCCCAACCCATATACACATAATTAAAAATAAAAGTGAAAATTTAAACAAATAGAGGAGAATGACAGTTTGTAAGGTGTGCAGTGTTTACAGGAATCCTAGAGTTCCTGAACTAGCCACAGATTGTGAGTTTAGGTTATATTGAACTGTCACCTTTTTATTCCATATGTGATACTGATGTTGAGCACATTGCATTGAAATGATAATGTGTTTCAATAGAATTCAAGTCTTGATTTCTTAACATTCCCCTACAAGGACCCAGGGTTCCTTTGACTGATTCCAGGCTAGAAGAGTTGAGTGTTTTTCATGCCAGAAAGGGAGAATATACTCTAAAATGGTGCCAGCATGTTCAAGGCATGTTGAAGCTCTTTTGTAGGCTCTCCCACTGGGCAAATCTAGGATGATTCCAACAGCAAAATAATTACAAACAGTAGTAAGTTGTAAAGCATTGGAAAGAAATAGTAATTTATGAGACCATATCAATAACATAGCATTCATATAAATACAGAGGGCAAGAGGGAGCTCAAGACAGATGCCAAATGTGAGTTGAAAATTCATGATTATGCCAGTGTGTCATAGTAAAATTCAGAGGATTCCAAGTGAGTGTTAAATCTAGAGAAGAAATTTGAATGAAGAGTAGCTTATTTGCATGGTTGTAATCTGACCAAAGAATACAGATTGGCTGCAGGAAAAGATAGTAACTAAGCAGCAGGAAATTTGGAACATATGTTTTATGACTGAAGCTTAACATCACTGGTGAGGAACAGGATGCCATATCCTGTTCTTCAAACTGTCATGACCCCCGAATGGCACATCACTTACTTCTCTCGTGAGAAGTGTATTTATTTGAATCTTATTATGAAAGAACCAAACACAAACTCAAATAGTACAGCATATTTTTTAAAGGGACTATATTTTGTCAAATAAAAGTTAGAAAAATTAAATAAAGGAAAGTTAAAGCATATAACATAAATAGATTTGATGAGGTGCACATGGTGAATTATGCCTGCAGTTACAGCGATACAGTTGGGAAGGCAATAGTATTGCAAGTTCTAGGCCAGCCTGGGGTTGCATAATAAAATCCTATAAGAAATAGATTATAAGTATATAAGATAATAAAGTTTTTATGACCCCAAGATTGATTCCTATATTGGTGGGGCTTATTACAGATTAGTTGAAAATTTTATCATGCAGGTTATAGATTACTGTGGCTGACATAGTTACTGAACTTGTAACTGTTGACTTGTAAATTATTTTTTGGAAGAGCACATGGAAAGTATCACAATGTTTAACAACTTATAAGTGTGTGTGTGTGTGTGTGTGTGTGTGTGTGTGTTGTAGGGGAGGAGGTATAACAAATGACAGGAGTCACTGGGTAAAGTTATATAGTGTTTGTTTCATTTGGAATATTTCAAAGTGTATGCATATGTGCTTGAGTACATCTGGTTAGTCTTGTTGCTTAAGATTGCTTGTTTATTTTTATTCTAACTAATAAATTGCACTCATCTTAAGATGTTGACCTAAATTTTTATAGATGTGTATACAGGTGTTTATATAGGTATTTATAGATCTGTATATTGATTTTTGATTTCTTTTAACTAGTGCTGGGCCTAAAGGAGATAACATTTATGAATGGAGGTCGACTATACTTGGTCCACCAGGTTCTGTTTATGAAGGTGGTGTTTTTTTTCTGGATATCACGTTTTCTTCAGATTATCCATTTAAACCACCAAAGGTAAGAACCTGTATATACATTGATTAAATATCCTTCTTCCAAACCCAGGTATTTTAAGATTTATACGTATATTAATGTAATAATTTTTATTTCATCATTGTTCATGAATTAATATGAAAACTCAGAGCCAATTATTTTGAAACCAAAGTTGTTGACTTGTGCCTTTTAAAAATAATTTTGTATTCAGTATAGTTTGTTAGTAGTAAATAAAACTATAAATTGAATAAACCATAAATATGAACTTATATAAAACTCCCTCTGTGCAATAAACTTTATTGACACCTTTCAGGAATAGGTTAAAAGAATTTTATCTTTATTTATAGGTAAGCAAAAACTAGAAAACTAACAAAAAAGGAAAAACTATTACTTACACACTCATTTTGTGCCTTCTCTGAGTGTAATATAAAATTAAGAATGACAAGCTCACTTTTACCTGCTTCCTTAATTCGTTTAAGCTGAGTGTGTGGCTGGGTAGCTAACAGAAAACATAATACTGACTTGAAGGGCTCTTCCTCTGGCTTCTCACTGTACAGTACTCATCTAACAACCCTGGAGCTTAGCCTTTGTAGCTGAGTCTGTCACAGAGGACTCCAGTGTGCCAGGAAGGTTGTCAGGGCCATGGCCACCAGCTAGAAAAGTGCTTTTCCTTTTTTTTATTGCATACATTTTTAAATGTAATACATTCTGATTATGGTTTCCCCTCCTCCAACTTCTTCCAGATCTGCCCTACTTCCCTACCAACCCACATCCACACCCTTTCTCTTTCTCCTAGGGATTCAAACAGGCATCTAAAATAATAAAATTTGATAAACAAGTAGAAAAAGCTAAGAAAATCTGATTTTTTAAAAAATGGTATTTCTTTGTATGAATTGCTTTTCTTTTTAAATCCTAAAACTTTTTAATGTATGTTATGATTCAGTGTATACATGTATGTACATATATATCGGTATATCTATCTCATCCATCCATCGACTATCTTTCAATTCTCTCTCTCTCTCTCTCTCTCTCTCTCTCTCTCTCTCTCTGTGTGTGTGTGTGTGTGTGTCTGTCTGTCTGTCTGTCTGTCTGTCATCTATCTGTGTCTGTAAAGACTTACTTGATTTTTAGAAAGGACATTTGACATTTTCTGGAAAGTATTCTCAAGCACATTTCAACAAAGTCCCACCTCAAATTAAAAACAGGATGATCTGTCTCTCCCTGTCCCTTCCTTTTCAATTGAAAATAGAATCTTCTCTCATACATGCACTACACATTCAGATCTCAGTTTCGCTCACTCCTCCCAATTGCCCCCCCCATCTTTCCCACTCCCTTTCCAGTCCTCTTCAGAAAAGAGCAGGCTTCCCAAGAGAAGACAACCAAAAAGGACAAAACAAGATGCAATAAGTAAAGGTAAAAGCTCACGTACTGAGGCTGAACAAGGCAACCCAATAGGAGGAAAGAGTCAGGGACATGCCTGCTTTAAGTATAGGAGGTCCATAAAAACACCAAGCAAACAGCCATAGCATAGAGAGAGAGAGGATCTGATTCAGATTCATGCAGGCCCCATGCTTTCCACTTTGGTCTCTCTGAGCCTTTATGAACTCGGCTTAGTTGAGTCAGAGGGTCATGTTCTTCTGGTGTCCACTATACCTCTCACTCCTACTTCCCCCCACCCTATGGGATTCTTGGTCTCCAAGGGGAAGGACCTGATGGAGACCTCCAATTAGCATCTCTCTCTCTCTCTCTTTCTCTCTCTCTCCACATATCTGGCTGTGGGTCTCTGCACCTGCACCCATCTGCTACTAGAGGAAGACTCTGATGGTGATGACTGGACAGTGCGCCCATCTATGAGTTCAGCAGAATATCATTGGGAAATTGGGTTTTCTGTTTTGTTTGGTTTTGCTTTGCTTTTACCAGTCAACCCCAGGTTTCTGGGCTATCCAGTCTCCGGTTCCTGACCATCCAGACAGTGTAAGGCATGGGTTCTTTCTCCTAGTGTGGGCTTCAAGTTAAACCAGACATTGCCCGCTCCTAGATGTTCTACGTCATTATTTCCCCAGCACATATAGCAGGCAGAACAGATTGTATACGTTGAGGGTTTTGTGGCTTTGTTGGTATCCAGGTTTCTCTTTCCATAGCCTGCAGAGTATCTTCCCACACCAAAGAGACTAGACCATGGGGTGAAGGCTCCATGCAGGCAATAACTCAACCTCTCTACATTCAGTAAGTTATGTGGATGTGATCCTAGCAGTGGGGCTCCTGCTGCCACGTTGTGGAGAGTGACCTGTCCTTGTACCAGCCTGGGTTGTTTGGGGATCTCCACAGGATCCTCTTGGCCAACAGCTCAACTGGAAGACTTGTCTGACTACAGATTCCATATCCTCCATTGCTGGGAGTCCTCCAGCTGTCTCCCCACCACCACCACCACTCACACACACCACATCATCTCAGTCTCCTGCTCCCATCTCCACCTGCCGCCAATCCATGTGTAGAGTGTATTCTATTTCCTCTTCCCAGGGAGGTCCATTGCATCAACTCCCCCTAGAGCCATCTTTGCCTAACCTTTCTGGTCTGTGGACTGTAGCTTGATAATCATCTATTAATTAGCCATATTTGTCCTTCTCAGTCGGGTTATTACCTCACTCAGGATGATACTTTTCTAGTTATACCTATTTGCCTGCAAATTTTATGATGTCATTTTTAAACAGCTGAATAATAATTCATTGCTTAACTGCAGCATTTTATAACAAGATGGTCCTTAACTACTTGAACATACTCCAGATTTGACTGTTTTTGAGTGTTTTACAGTGTGACCATTAGAATCTAAAATCCTAAAAGTTATCTTTAAAAGCTCTTCAGATGTGCAGGTCTGCCTTTCTAAATCAAATAAAGGGTTAGAACCCTCTTATTATAGTGCCACAGATTGGATTCTCTTGAGAATGATACATATTTTTTATTCTTTGGTTGCCTCCTGTATAATAAAGCTTTAGTAAACTTTATGTCTATTTTTATAAATGGAGTTGCTTCTATGTGCTTAGTTTTTCATATTGGAAATTGGTTTCAACAAACTAGAAAAAATAGGGGGAGAAAGTGAACAGGATATATTTGTATGTGAGGAATTACATTTACAATTACATTTTCTTAGCACCATTAGTGAAAATGGAAATTAACTAGCAGCTGTCTATCCCTGATACTTGATTACTCCTGCTATTTCCTGACAACTGGGATTATAGGCATGCTCTACAGAGACAGGAGGATTGCTGTAAGTTTGACACAAACCTGGCCAGCCAGAGCTACATATCTAGAGACCTCATGTCTGAAACAAAACAACCTTAACAAAACCTAAGCCAAATATAGTACTTTCTATACTAAGTCAAAACCAAACCAGTATTTTTAACTAAATCAAATAAAACTATTCAGTTTTGTTGTTACACCTGAGCAGGAGTAGCATCCTCGGGGACATGGGACTGTTGAGAATTGGTGACACAGCCCTGTTTTCTTCTGTTTCTATGTGACTGTGTTTAGGTTACCTTCCGCACCAGAATCTATCACTGCAACATCAACAGTCAGGGAGTCATCTGCCTGGATATTCTAAAAGACAACTGGAGTCCTGCTTTGACTATTTCAAAGGTTTTGCTCTCTATTTGTTCCCTTTTGACAGACTGCAACCCTGGTAAGCAAATCTTTTTAAATCTTTAACTAAGGCTTAGTTTAATGTTGATCAGAAAATAAATGTTAGAAAGATGATCAGCATAAGATATATTTTGAGGGATAAGCATGGAGGTTGAGTCAGTGGAATAGTGAATCTGAGGCTGACTTCTGCATACTTCTGAGTTAGCTGGGGCTGTCTGGTAAAACCTTCTTAAAATCACCAAAGACTTATGAGGAAACCAATATCATCAATTAGACACTGAGTCAGATGAGTCAAAAGTTTCTTAATATTCATTTAGTTTATTATTGTCATGTAGCAGAATCTCATTTACGCCACCAACCAGCTTCTAAATCGTGACACGGAGAAATTATTGGCTAGGAATGCTCCGCCTTATCTTAGTTCTTATTTTAATGTTTCTCTTTTTCTACATTTTCCCTTGGGGCTTTTTACCTTTCTTTCTGTACGTCTTATTTTCACTGCTTCTTGTGTGTCTCTGGCTGGCCCTGGGCATGGACCTCTCTTTCTCCCTTGTTCTTTGCCTCTCTCCGCTCTCTCTCTCACCTAGATTTTTCCTCCTACTTATTCTTTCTGTCCACCAGCCCCACCTATTCCTCTACTGCCTAGGTCAGCTTTTTATTAGGCTGATCCAGGTGCCTTATGGAAGCAGGTGAAACAGCAGCACATCTTTACATAATTAAACAAATGCAGCACAAACAAACGTAACAAGTCTTTGTAGTGTTAAAAAAGCCAGCAAAACAAATGTAACACATCTTCTCATAAAGAAATAATCTACAGCATAAACAAATGTAACATCTTTACCTAGTTAAATTCCACAACAGTGTCATACCCCTCTGTGATGATTTTTGAACTATCAGCTGTGGAACCTCTACTTCCTAAACTGGGACTGTGTCCATCATTTCTGTCAGAGTTAAGCAGTGTGCCTTGATTCCTTTTCCATCCTTTCATGCTGCTGTGTGCTTTACTGTACTCACCCAGTAACTGGGGTTCCCCTTTCTGTATTAAACCAGCTGTTAAATAGAGCAGCAGTGGATAGTGCAGTTACCACACTTCAGTCAGCTCGAGTGTTATGTATAAACTCAGAGTGATAGTGGACAGTTAGTGACTTCTGAAATGCCTCCTAAGAAATTAAACATGGGTAGCAAACTTGTTAGAGTCATGTTTAGACCTCAAGTTGCTACTGGAGGGCTTGGCTGTTAGACTTGAGAGGGTTCAAGTAGGAAGAGAAGAAGAGATAGCTAATTGTGCATTTGTGTAAGTAAACAATTAGAACTAACCTGAGTGTCCACAAAGAGATTTTAGCTATTGAAGAGTAGAACAGTTCTGAACTTACAGGGAGATTTTTAGTCTTTTAGATCTAGTGTATCAAGATACAGAGATTTTGAAAAGATACATCCATACTTAACAAATATTGTTATGTCCTAGATCTATAGCATATCTGAAAAAAAATAATTTAAAGGTGTTAGTAGTTGTTTGCCAGGGAGAGGGTTGTGAGTCTTTGGAGTCTAAAAGGGAAAGTCTTTACTCCTCAGTGCTGGCTGTGTTTGGAACACTCTCTGCACCATGTGCACATACTTTGCTTATGAAAGTTGTTTTTATATCAGATTCACTTTTACTTCAAAATTATATTTAAAATGAAATGACATGTAAGTTTTTTTTTAGTGACTGTGTTTACAATTAGAGACATAACTGTATGAATGTCAGGGAACATTTCATTCTGAATAGCATTATAAGATGGAAGCTTTATGTAAAACTATGTTAAGATGCATAACAAGACAAAAATACAACTTCTATTCCACTTTCATAGTTGAACAAAATGTCAAGAATAACTTGACAGGGAAGCTGCATCTATAATACCGCAACAGAATATCTTAGGCTGCGGAAGGAAGACCTGCACAGTGACTTTAGCAGTTGACATGCCGTGTGAGGTGGGGGGGGAGAGGCAGCTACAGTCAGTGGCTGCTGAGGAGCAAGAATATGTCTTTTCTAGAGATGAGACCCTAAATACATGAACTTAAGAGTGGGGGGAGGGTATACATATATGTGTAACAGTGATAATGACAGGTGTTTTGAATTTGAGTGAATGGTTCGGGGAGAGATGCAAGTAAAAATAATGTAAATACAGTAGTCATGTATGATTCCCAATAAGGTTTAAAATATTTGTTAAATAAAATACACCTCTTAAGAAATCATTATTAATTTACCATTTACTTTTTCAGTAAAAGGCTTTATTTTTTGATAATAATATTATTATTATATTTAATAATATTTGTATATTATATATATATCATGGTAGATTATTTTCTTTGGAAAAATCAAAACATACTGTATTAAAATATAACTTATACTGTAATGCCATGTTAGAACTGTACGTGTAAAGCACACATGGTGTCTTAATGTTGTTCTTACTTTTCCAGCGGATCCTCTGGTTGGAAGCATAGCCACTCAGTATTTGACCAACAGAGCAGAACATGACAGGATAGCCAGACAGTGGACCAAGAGATACGCAACATAATTCTCATAATTTGTATGCAGTGTGAAGGAGCAGAAGGCCTCTTCCCACTGTGCTGCGGATCTTTATAGCCTTTACAATACGGACTTCTGTGTATATGTTATACTGATTCTACTCTCTGCCTTTATCCTTTGGAGACTGGGAGACTCCCCCAAAAGGTAAATGCTATCAAGAGTAGAACTTTGTAGCTGTAGATTAGTTACGTTTAAAATGCCTACTTGCAAGTCTTGCTTCTTTGGGATATCAAAATGTATTTTGTGATGTACTAAGGATACTGGTCCTGAAGTCTACCAAATATTATAGTGCATTTTAGCCTAATTCATTATCTGTATGAAGTTATAAAGTAGCTGTAGATGACTAGGAATTATGTCATTTGTATTAAGCCCAGATCTATTTCTGAGTATGTGGTTCATGCTGTTGTGAAGATGTTTTACCTTCCCCCTTTGTCAGTTTGTAATGAGAGGATTTCCTTTTACCCTTTGTAGCTCAGAGAGCACTGATGTATCATCTCAAACACAATAAACATGCTCCTGAAGGCATAGTTTCTTGTCGTAATGTTGAAAGTCTTGTCAGAAGGTGTGTCTGAGATGATTGTTGATGAGATAAAGATGTGGCTATGAAGATTGATTATTAAGGACTAGTACAAATGGATGAATTATTAAATTGAAAGCATTTAAAAATCTTAAGTGTGTAGAATTTTTTCCTTTAAGGAGAGCATATAGTGGGCTTAAATGTGAAGCTGGATTTAAACCATTGGTCTTTTAAAAAAAGAAAAAAAACATGAATTCTACATTGAACATGTAGTATTTGAGTTGAAAATGAAGTCCTGGGTTATTCAGGACCCTCTCCATGTCTTACAGAGCATTTTGTTTCCAAATTGGTGATGTCTATTAAAAGTTGGGCAATACTGTCAGATAATTGCTATTCTGTGATTGCTTTTCTATGGTGCTTTTCCCTTTAATCCTGATCTTGAATTTTTATGGTGCATTACTGTTATTGTAATCCATGGCCAGCAAGTGTAGCCAGAGGCGCAAAGGCCCTGTTTCCCTTATGGTAGAAGGTGTGTTCATGCGCAGATGTGGCACTCTCGGTTGAAGACATATTGTAAGGATGTAGAGCTTAAATAACTTCTAACTGTAATTATGAAGTGTACTATTTAGCTTGTAATTATTAAGCTTTCTTAAGAGAATTGTAAACAATATGATTGTACTATTTTTTTTCCCCTGTGCCTGGAATAAATTATCTGTGGTCAGTTTCTTTTCCGATTCTAAATATGGTAAATACAGTACCATCATAAAATTTATGGAAATTTATCATTAGGATAAGAGTATGTATTGCTTTGGGCTGGTGAATGCTAGCTCAGTGGTTAAGGCTACCTTGGCATCCCCAGCACCACACACGTACACAGACACAGACATTTCTTTAGGGAAGTGAGTCGTGTTAGTTACATAGACTACCACTTTTAAAATATTGGCTTTTGCTCAAGTATTTGATGATAGAAGTACTAAATCAGGGAAAAACTTAAAATTTAACAGGTTTCCAATTTCTACAAGTGCTACACACACACAGACACACAAACACACACACACCAGTACCCTTTTATAGAGGAACAGTGAACAGCATGTTAATGTTAGAAGATTTAAGCTTTGTTTCGGAAAAGTTCTGATTCTTATTTTAAACAAATTAAAAATTTACAGTTCAAGTCAATATGATGAGAGTGGAGGCCTTGCATGATAGTTAAAATGATTTTCATTAATCATGGTAAGCTGTGGAAAGGACTTCATTCCATTGCTGAGATAGGTCATTCTACCCTAGAGTAATAAGCTTCTCTTGGTGCTCAGAAGCTTTCATTCTGAGCCTTGGGGTGTTCCTGTGTTGCCCTTTCAATTGTAACTCATGAATGTGTGAGAGTGGCCAAGCCACCATGTATCCCATCAGACCTGTGGTGTCTTAATGATCACACACTCTCTGAGGAACCGGTCAGTGCAAAACCGTGCCTGATATGCATACCTGCTGTAACTGTTGCCTGTAAAAGAATTATTCATCGATTATTATAATTTCTAAAATTAGATAAATTATTTGAGTAGATCTTTAAGAACCAATTTTAGTTTAAGATTTATTTCTAATGAATATGAGGTAGTTTATTAGTATTTGTTACCAGAACACTTAGGATAGTTCCCTTGGTTTAAAAACTTGAAAATGAGACAAGTAATACTAAAAACCATCTTACATAACCACATCTAAAAGTTTGTACTGATGAGCATATCAGATATGTTATTTTAATTACATGGACATGACCTTTTCTTTCGAACTAGGAAATCTTAACTAATTGTGGGAATAAAAATTTGTATTTTTACCATGCTACCTTTTCTCAGAAGAGCTTTGTCTCTGATTTGTAAAGAACTTTAGCCAGTCCACTGGTGTTCAGTGGTGTTCAAGTAATAGAAGAATGACTGGCGTAAATATGAGCGGCAGTTTAGTCCTGAGACTGCGATTAACATCATGTTAATGTATGGATTATTAACACATTGCTAGTTACAGTTTAAATTGTGGGCTTTGGACGGATCATTTAAGTATGAAACATCAATTATGTTTTCTGAATCCACCTTAAGAAACTAATTCTACAGTAATTGCATTATTGTTATACTTCATTTAATGTTTCTTATTCAGAGTAAGTAAATGTACAAGCCTCTTTGGTTTATATCAAGTCACATTGTTTTTTCAAGCAATACCCGTATAACAATAATTACACTTTAGTACATATCCGTTATTTAAGTCAAATCTCACTTACTCCTCAGTTTCTCCTTCGGAAGCTTTTCATTGTTTGTCTCCAATGTGTAATGGAGCAATTCTGCTTCCCGAATGGTTACAGAGTAGATTGCTGAGTGGCTTGTGTAACTCCCTACCAGTGGTAATGAGTGGTAAAGCCTGGCTCACTGTCAGGCAACGTCCACCTTGTTAACCTAGAACTGAGACATATGCACATCTGTCCCAGGCATGTGCGCTTCTGTTTTTCCTGTTTTCTTTCCTTCCTGACTGTTGAACTCATAAGCAGCTCCCTGCAGGGAATGCCCTGGAACCAACATCTTCCAGTTTGCCACCTGCTGTGCTTGCAACTGCTTATGTCTGCACTGGAAGTGCAGAGTAAATTTTAAGTAAGAACTCCCAATGTCAACATGTCAACATACATAAATGCTACGCTGAACCTGAACGATCTCTCTCTCTCTCTCTCTCTCTCTCTCTCTCTCTCTCTCACTCTGTGTGTGTGTGTGTGTGGGGGGGGGACTTAAATAGCATATGACCCAGATTTGGGCACAAGGTAGTTAGAGACATCCTTTAGTCTTTGTCATTAGGTGTAGGTTAGGCAGCAGAGTGCTGGAGCTTAGTCCTGGGTATATTCTAAGGTAGAGCAGAACATAACAAAATGAATAACTTGGCACGTAGACACAGTGAGTACCGTGTTCGTGGAGATCTGTCTCATGCGAGTCACTGAAAGGTGTCCCCCAGATCTCCTCGGTTGATCTCATATCCACCCTTTGAACATCGATGCTGCACCACTCTCATTTACTGTACTTTGTCAGTCTGTTTTCCTCAGACGCCGTCCTCACACGCATCACAGAGAGCCGAGCATTTGTCTTCCACTTTCCTCTCTAAAAGTCAAGAACTCCTTTTTATCTTTCTCTTTTTGGGAAATGCAGGGAGTGGTTGGGCAGTTAGTGGTTAGAAGACGCATATACTGTATAACCTGTTAACTGGTTTACATGGAGAGTTTGTTCTTCAAAGTTTAAATGCTCGATAATTGCTTAGTTTATTTAGAGTGTGAAACATACAGAGATGGAGACATTTACACATCCTTATTAGGTAGTTTGTCACTTTCCTGTCCAGATAGGTTTTTCTCCCTAACAAAAGAAAAACATGCCTTGGTTAAAAAAATTTATCTGTTTTCTGCTGAATAAGAAGTTAAACAGATGTCCCTGCTGATATAACAATAAAATCGATTGCATAATGTTTAGTGAATTTATTCAATCTATATAATATTCAATATACTTAATACTAAGTGACATTTTAAAAATATTCTTCGGCTAGAAAAATGGCTCAGCAAATAAAAGTGCTTGCCATGCAAACATGACCATCTGAGTGAGCCTAGCATACACATTAAAGGTGGAAAGAGAAAATACACTCCATCTCCCGCCCTTCCCCCTCAACACTATACACACACACACACACACACACACACAAACACACCCCATCTCCTGCCCCTCCACCTCGACATTATACATACACACAAACACACCCCATCTCCCGCCCCTCCACCTCGACATTAAACATACTCACAAAACCACACTCCATCTCCCGCCCTTCCACCTCAACATTATGCATACACATACAAATACACTCCATCTCCTGCCCTTCCTCTTCGACATTACACATACACACAAAATGAGAAATGTAGTCTTTAAAATTACTTTTTTATTATTTTGACATTTTACCCAGTTCAGTTTAACACCATATCTGTATGCTTGGACAGTGAGCCCTATGAAGACATCTATCCTCCTCTGTCTAAATACTAGCCAGGTATCTAATGTGAGTGCTGATGGGATGATTATTTTATCATGGAGGTAAACCTTCAACTTCACATGATGCTTGTCTACATAACAAGCATGTCTTTAATTCCCAGTACACTGATTGCAATGCTTTATACATGGTAAATGCTGCTTAGATTATTCCTGTTAAAATGGGTCAAGTAATAACACTTTTGTCAGTGTCTTAGAATGAAGAATGAGTTAAAAGTTCATCAGTCTACCAGAAGTCATTCCTTGCTATGGCTGTATACAGTTTCCCATCATAGGTATTTTCTCAATCCCTTTTATTGGTAAAGAGAAAACTCACAAAGCATTGGATGCAGACTTGTGTACTGGGTGCCAGCACCGGATGACTGCATCACACAGAAGGTGTTTCTTGGGTTCTGTGTAGCCTACGTACTCTGATGTTTTTACAGTGACGAAGGGCAAGAGCCACGTTTTTCAAAGGATATTCCCTCTGTTAAGAGACTCGTGACTGTGTACCAGTATTTTAGGAAAGGTGGGGGGAGGTCTTTGAGAGAATCATTTTAACAAAAAAATGCTTTAAGGAAAAGAACTAGGTAGAAGTGTATAATGTGCTATGTGCTGCTCTGTGGCAGGGGCCTGCCCGGGAACCTGGAAAGTCCTCAGTGAGATTCCTACATGTGGGGTCTGAAAAGAGAATGTGCAGACCAAAAGCCCACTTTTTACTCTCTTGCTCAGCAATTGTCCTAATAAGTCTAATTGGAAAGTCTAATTCCAGTTATCTCACTTATGAATATTTAAATCTGCTGAGCAAACTGAGCCCACCTCAGTGTGATAAGGGATGGAAGAAAACCCTCTAAGAAGTGGTTGGTTGAACAGTGCTGGCATCAGAAGCCTGACAGTGAAGGGGAAGTTGTAGATGGACGTTTCTGTCCTGCAGCAGTTCAGTCCCAAAGAAACACAGAGGCTTATATTAATTATAAACTGTTTGGCC